CAACTTACGTTTATTTCCTCGAGATTCTCTATATTCCTGCTACAATCTCTTGGCTGTTCAAACGATTATTGTTTTTTGCTAAGACCCCACATCTTTCTCAATAAATTCATCTGTTTCAGGTGCCTGGGTGGCTCAGTGGGTTGAGCGTCCGGCTTCGGCTCAGGTCATGATCTCACTGCTCCATGAGTTCGAGCCCCGTGTCGTGCTCTGTGCTGACAGCTCAGAGCTTGGAGGCTGCTTAGGATTCTCTCTCGTCTCTCTGCCCCTCCCCTGCTTGTGCTCTGTCCCTGTCTCTGAAATATAAATTTACAAAAATTAAAAAAAATAAAACATTAAAAAATAACCTTGTCTGTCCTGACCCTCTGGGAGAGACGGTGAGGGAGCTGAGTAAGGGGAAGTCACGTGGCTTGGAGGGTGGAACAGGCAATGTTATACTACTTACTAGTAAGTGACTCCGGCTGTTGTTAGAACACATTTTCATCTTTTTGACCTCATCTGATCCTTTCCGAGTGTTTTCAGTCGGTAGGTCTCTATCCCTTTAAGTCAGAATGCTTGGGTCTGAATCCGGAGTCCCCATGTATTATCTGGGTGCCCGTGGGCATGTCACTTCGACCGTCTCTGCCTTGATTTCCTCATCTGTAAAGAAATCATTTTAGTGCTTACTTCATGGGGATGTGATGAAGATTAATGAGCACGGAGAGACTTGAGAAATGTGCCTGGAATATGGTAAACGCATGCTCCATAATCATTTCCATTCTCATTTCTGCTGCTGCTGTTCTTGTAGAAATGTGGGAACCTTGGCTTGGCAAAGTTAGCTGGTTTTCCCAGGCGCACGGCAAGTGGCAAGCTGGGAAGCGGAACCCAGGGCTCCTGACTCATCGCATTAGTGGTTTTGAAATTATCTGCTTATAAAAACTGCTGTTTAGCAACCAGACCAAGATCCTGTGCCGCTCGAACCAGTAATCATGGTTATATTAATTAGCAGGAAGAAGTTAATGGACTTTTCTCAACCTTCGACTTTTTCTCTTGGAGTTTTCTTAATCTTTGAAGACTTGCTACTCTTCTGTCTACTAGCATTTGCGGTGCTCCTGACCAAGCGAAGGCCTTCACGTAAATGTGAATGGTGAAGACTCAGAACTTACTGACTGGGCTCCATTCGACCGCTGTTTTGTCCTCACGCGCACTGCCCTTGTGATTTAATCGCACTCACGCATCCGAAGCAGCCTTTCTGGAGGTACCCCTGTCCGAGGGCGCGTGAAGGCATTGGATATGCCCGTGGTGCGCAGCGTCCCAGAGGACATCACGTTCAGATGTCTAGGTCCACTACCCCCTTCACAAGCCTGATGGCCACCAAGTGCGGCACAGCCCACCCTGACTCCTGACCAGATGTAGACTGGTTTTTAACTCGTTTCCCTCAAACATGCGAATTCCAGATCAAGTATACATGTTCTTAGTTATTTTTATAGGAGATCACTGGAAAAGAAGGAGCCAGGAAGCTGGGAACTGAGGGTGACGAATGGAGGGGAGGACACGTCTTTGCCAAGTGGACTAAGGCAACTGAGGCAAAAATAAGCCTCAGGACACCGCGTTCCAGTGCCTGCTGGAAGTCTACCCTGATCTGTTGTTTCTAATTTAAATTAATTATTTTTTAATATGCAAAGTCCTTTTCTTTTTTTTTTAAAATTTTTGTTGTTTTTATTTATTTTTGAAACAGAGAGAAAGCAGGAGCTGGGAGGAGCAGAGAGAGAGGCAGGGCCTGAAACAGGCTCCGCGCTGACAGCACAGAGCCCGACGCGAGGCTGGAACGCATGAGCCACAAGGCCATGACCTGAGCCAAGGTCGTCCGACTTGAGCCACCCAGGCGGCCCTCTAATTTTAATTTGAGAGAGAGAGCACAAGTAGGGTAGGGGGTAGACAGAGAGAGAACCTTAAGCAGGCCCCATGCTCAGCACAGAGCCTGATGTGGGGCTTGATCCCATGACCCTGGGGTCATGACCTGAGCCAAAATCGAAAGTCCTATGCTCCACTGACTGAGCCACCCAGGCCCCCCTACCCTGCTCTTTTTAAGGGGAAGGGAGCGGTATCTGGGTAATAACATGTTTTGCGAATATAATACTGTAAAGCTGAGGATATATAACCCTGCAGATTGGGGAAGAGCTTTGAGAAATAAGTCTGCATGTGAATTTGTTCATTAACAAAACTATTGTTCCTCCAATATTCATGTTATTTAGAACAATGGTGGGATCCTGGGAACTAGGTTTAAAATAAAATGTAAGGGTGCCTGGGTGGCTCAGTCGTTATGCATCTGACTTTGGCTCAGGTCATGATCTCATGGTTCGTGAGTTCAAGTCCCACGTGGGGTGAGCTCAAGCCCCGCTCTGGGTGAGCATGACCCTGGCTTCTCTCTCTCTCTGCCCCTCGTTCACCTGCATCCTCTCTCTCTCTCTCAAAAATAAACAAATAAATATATAAAACAAAATATAAAAAAAAGTAATTGAAGATTTGGTTGGGGAACCAGCAAAAATATTCTGTGGTACAGAATAAAATAAACTTACCCACTTCTTGTAAATAAAAGAAAAGGGCATTCGGAAGTGTTTTTAACCACTAGCGCGGGGTAACTTGAAGCGACGGTCTCCTTCTCTTTGAGCATGCAGGCTGTGTCATTCACACAGACACTGTAAGCAGCGCTGCGGAATGCCAACCCAACAATCACTTCCAGAGTCCTTCTTCCTCGCCCACCTCCTACGGGAAGGAAGGACCGCAAAGGCTAAACATTCTTTTGCAGTCTGTCTTGCTAGAGGGGGGCATGTGACCTGATCCTGGCTTACGAGACATAAAGGGTTTCCTGTGGGAGTGGGACAGATCTTTTCTCCTTGACTAAAAGGCGAGACACCTATGAAAAGAGCCCTTTTGGACCTCTCTCTCTCTCTCTCTCTCTCTCTCCTTACTTTGCATCCTACCAGATGCACATGTGAGGCCTGGAGCTGTGGCAGCCATGTTGTGATCAGGCAACCCTGAGGCTGAAGCGGAAACCTAACATACAGAGAAAGGTAAGAAGGCAGAGATGAACAGAGCTGGGTCCTTGAAGCCAACACGGACATGCCAACCCGACCCTGAGGAGCACCTGTATTTCTAGACTCAGTTAAGCAAGAAGAGTCATTTGGTGAAAGCCCCCGTTTGTTTCATGTTACGTGCGGTTGAAAGCATGTGATTGCAATGAAGTCAAGAAAATATTTGCGAGTGCTCTCATGGGCTCGCTGAGTATCTGGATGCCGCAGGCTCCCATCCTTTCTCCGTGAAGTCTCATCACCCTTTTCCACAGATAGCACAGACACTGCCTCTCGGGATGATGTGAGGCTCACACCATAAACTACTATGAAAGAGAAATAATAAAAAATGCTTCCATGTTAGGCAAAGATCCTGACTTTCATGCAGTAAGGGACGCGGTGCCGCTCAACAGCGGTTTCTTCTCTCCTGGGAGAACGCACGTTGTGGCTGAGGACGGATGGAAACACGTTCCAGAGGCAGTTACCTGCTGAGCTGCAATTGGGGTGCAGTAGCCTGGGCTTTAGTATTAAGCTGATGTCAAGTTTCAAAATCATGGACTGACCGAGGTGAGGGGAGGGGGATTAAACTGAGAGAAAAAAAAATTAGGCCCTTGTAAAATACCCACACCTCCACCCCTTCCTCCTGAGAGTGCTGGCCTAGAAATAGTTACGTGCATACTTATAACATGTTACGAGGCGACCCAAAGCTATTTACGCTAAGGATGCAGATGCCCAGATCCTGGGGGTGGCCGTGGCCGCTGCGACCCCACCCAGCACCCTGCAGTCGGTGACCCTCGCAGAAATTAAGGTAGAGACGCCATCGGCCGTACGAAGGGTGGCAGAGCTCTGCCGTGGAAAGGCAGAGTTTTCCGTTCCAGAAAGAGAGCTGTTTCTAGAAGATGCCATTCTTCGAAGCAGTGTGTTTATTTTGAAGGACATCGAAGGCCGGAGGCAAAGACAAGGTTTTCATTTTGTGGCGCTCCATGGATGTGAGAGCAGGACCAGGTGGGTGGATGCCCCCCACCCGCTTGGTAAACACGGAGGCCGAGTCTGCAAATCACTGCGGGCTTTTTAGCAACTTTAAGGCTCACCCTCAAGTCCCATTTATTTGACTCTCTATGCCTTTGGTAGATTTCTGGTTGGAGACCATGAAATGGACCTAACGTTAATTTCAGGGCCATTTCGCTTGCCCACTGTCCCCAGGTGTCTGCTTTTCTCTTGGACAGAGGTGGTTACCCTGAAGGTCGCCGGCACAGAGTGATTCTCGAAGAGCTCCCTCTTCCAAAGCTGGGACACTTGCTCAGCGGGTCTTCAGGGAAGGAGCCAGGACCAGGGAACCACAGCGCCACACCCTGCACCCTGCACCCTTCTGCCGGCTGCCACCTCGGCCCCTGGCTTTGGACACCTTCTTCTAGGCTTTGTCCGAGTGGAATAAGCTTTACAATCACCAAGCCACGGGGCATGTACTGGGAGTTTCCAGTTTTTCACGCGGGAAGCTGGTCTGGGAGAGTTTTGCCCACCTGGAGAGAAAGGGGAGGTAAGAGGTGCAGAGACGAGGTCTGATGGCACTGGAGTCTCCCCCTTCTGGAACTTTGATCGTGTAGAGCCAAAAGGGCAGATTCCTTCTTGCTCGAGCGAGCCTGATTCGGATTTCTAACACTCGGCGACTTCTAAAACTTGTGCTTAAACCTCGTTTCCCCTCAAACAAGTAAAGTATTTTACACAGGCATGCTAATTCTTTTGAATAATAAAATATTTATTTTGTAAATCAAATCAGCACTTTCCAAGTTATCCTCTATACAAACCCAATTTGGGGGGTATTAGGTTTTCTTATAGGACATCAGTGCTATCATATAAAACCAGAGGAAGAAACCATTCAAATTCAGTGCAGACACAGGTGGCTTCAGTGTCCCCTAGTCTTTGAAAAATCTGAACGAAAAGTAGCCACATAGAAACAATCACATATTTTATTTTAGACCATAAAAACCTTATACCCACTCTATAATAAAATGTAATCGAACGTCTGCTTAAATAATGAAAAGGTTAACAAATGATTTGGGTTCTAATCAAAGGAACATGAGTGTAAATCTGCAGCAGGACAGGTATTTTCAAAATAAAAGCTCAACGAAAGGCTGAACATCCTCAAATACAGAGAATACGGAATAGTTTCTGCTTAACATTGTCTTGCTTTGGTGTTGGAAAAGCCACAAATCTGATAAACGTATTTTAAAAGTCGTGGTTTCCTCGGCAGGAGTTCTAGATTTGTTCAGAAAGGACGGCAGCAGTTTGGACAGAGCACAGTGGGGCGGAAGAGAAATGCTGGGCCCGTGCAGACATGGTTAACAGAGGCAGGGATGGGGGAGGCCGGGGCACAGGGGCGCAGCTCCCATCCTGAGCGCGGCGACAAAGGGAAGGGCACGGGCTGAGCCGGGGACAGCCCAGGCAGGGACATGGCCGCTGTGGCTCGGGGTGTTTATTTTTAGTGTTCCGAGACAAATTCCAGCAAGATGTCTGGTTTGAGTCAAGCCTTTCTTCTTGAACTTGACTTCTCCACTGAGGTACTTGGCATACTTCAGGGAAAAAGTGAATACGCCGGGATTTGGTCCTGTTAGAGATGAAGCTGGAAAACCGGCTGAAGGAGCAAGGGCAGCCCCGAAATCAAAATCCTGTTTCCTGGAAAGAACCGTATAGACAGACAGGCTTTGCTTATTAACGGAGCAGGAAAGGAGTGGATCTGGAGTTTCGGCTCTGGCGAGAGAAGCAAGCAGGGCCGCAGAGGCGCCCTTGAGGAAAGAAACGGACCCTCCGTCCGGTGCTCTGCTCTGGGCAGGTGCCTCTGGCGCCCGTACCTGCAGGGCCGTTCGCAGCACCTGGCTCTGGGTCCCAGACATGGGCTCTCCGCAAGCCGTGCCGGGCATCTTCCCCCTTCTGAAATGAGGCGGAGGCCTAAATTCCCAAGTGGTCTGAACCCTCCCAGCCTGGCGAGCACAGGGAGCGGCCACGCTGCTCGCAGAAGCCCGGGCCCGCCGGCAGCGGGAAGGGCACGCTTGTACACATGGCTCATGGGCTTTCCAAACAGAACACCTGTGACCAAAGACAACAGGGCCCGAGCCCTTGTAACCCCCACGGATGGTGTAATCTGAGCCACCAAAAAGGCGAGTCTGTGGCTCCCAAGGTTGCGTCCGTACCCAAGGGATGGGGAGGCTGTTGTGAACCGCAAGGAGTGGCCGGCAACACCCACGCCCCGGCTCAAGGGACGGACACGGCCCACTATGAAACAGTGCGGGAGTCATTCGGAGCACTTTGGCAGACGGCAGAATGTCACCTCACCGAATGTTACCTAAAAAAATATTTTATCAGGAAGTAAGGTCATTTCACTTGTTTAACCTACACAAGTTATTGTCTGCTTTGAAGCAGAATTGCCTACAGTGCTTTGCCTCTTGGGGATTCTCCTAATTTTGGAAGAGTGTCTGCGCTCCGGCCCCTTTCTCCAGGCCAGTCTTAACCAAAGTTACATCTACGTTAAGTAGTTGCAAATGTGGTCTTAATGGGATGCCATTTGCTTAAATCTTTAATAATCATGGCAACTGCTAAAGGAGCAGTATTTTCCGGGGCTCCTTCCCTGAAAGGGGAAGAACATATTGCTACAATATTTTATGGAGCAGCTGAGATCACTCTGGATCAAGCTGAGGACGATTAAATTATATTCACTTTGAATCTGATACCGCTGATGCCCACGTACTTGATTTTCATACTTATCTGGAGTTCAGAATCTCTGTGCTAAACGCGTGTTTTGAAAAAAGACAATGATTTATACTGTTGGAAGTTTAGAAATGACTCCAAAGGACAAAGGTACTTGTCTGCCAATGTGGCTGGTGCAGTGACGACGGGTGATGTCTTCTGCCAGCTTGACCAACACCAGTCTTTCTAGCTTCTCCACTGTACCAGATCGCGTGCACATGTGTTTGCGGAGAAAGATGGAAAACATGCCCTCCATGTCTTCATTTTAAAGAAGCTTATCCTCTCCCATACCAGTCATTCAAGTAACATGAGAATGTGCCTCTCTAAAAGGACCCCATCTGTATCTAGGAAATTGTTTTAAAAAACAGAAGTAACGTAGGTATAAGAATGCCTTTAACAACCAAAGCAATCGGCCCAGGTTTGGATGATGACCTGGCATGATAGCTCTTTAATTTTAAAGCAGATTCATTACAGAACGACGTGTGTAAAAAGTGCATACGCCATCTAGAGATCTAGATACTGCTGCAGAAGAACTGAAGGGAGGGGACCATGTCACTAGACTTCCATGCCGAGAATCAGCACGTTTTCTAGGTAGCCAATGCCCCAAATGGAGTCTCTTACAGTTCTCACCTCATGGAGACTAAGTGAGAGGGCGGGGGAGAAATCCAGCACTCTGTGACGTCAGACAGAATCCGCAGCACAATTACAACACTGCATTAGGCAACAAGATTTTCTAGATGGAAGGCATATAAAGAATACCCACGACGATAACCAAGACAATGGAAATGAAGAGGAAAAGCATCTGCTCTGGGTGGACAGTACAGGTGATCATCAACGCCCCAACTAACGGGGCTGGAGACACAGCAGCCTAACGTGGGGACTGGCTGATGCTGAGGACCGAGTCATCAGGGAAAGAGGACTTGGTGCTCTTGGCTTAGTTTCAGTGATTCTTCAGCACTTAGTGAAGACGCTGTGCGTTTTAAGTGGAGACCCCCAAATCCTCTGACAAAAGATTTAAAATTGTGGAGAGTTGGGCAAATCTTTACTACTGGGATGTCCCACAGGTTAGACCACATTCACTGGTGCAGCTGAGCGGGGTCTCCTGCGCTTTGTCCGCCACCGCTCAGCATTACAGAGCCAACGAGACAAAAAAGACGAAAGGAACAATTATGAAATTCTTGACTTCTTTCCTGGGTCATATGTCCATAATCTGCATAAAATAAATAATATTTGTTAAATCAAAACCAAGGTTAAAATTTGGAAATGGGTCGGGGTGGGGAATGGGGAGGACAGCAATCTGGTTTTCTTAAGGCGAAATGATAAGGATTTCTTTAAATAGACACTTTATTACATCCACAGGCGATAAAATCCCAGAGCTACTGTTAGGCACGTAAATACAGACCCTGTAAGAAAAAAGAAAGAAATCGAGCATAGTATTAATTAAGAGCTACTTAAGGAACAACTTCTCATTAAGAAAACATACGGATGCTCACCCACCTAGCCGCCAAGCAAAACGACAAACCAACCAAGAAACTTGGACTGTCCGTTAATGTGCCACATTCCACGAGCCCGCCCACTAACCCACTCCTCTCCTTGGGGCACCAGGGCGGCAGAGCCACTTGAGCGGCTGACTTTGGCTCAGGTCAGGACCTCACGGTTCGTGACTTGGAGCCCCACGTTGGGCTCACTGCTGTCAGTGTGGACCCTGCTTTGGCTCCTCTGTGCCCGCCCTCTCTGTCCCTCCCCTGCCTGCATGCTCTCAAAAATAAATATAAAACCATTAAAAAGAAAACAAATAAATCCGTCCACTCCCTGAAATCATCATCTTCAAAGTACAAACGTATCCAATATTCAACAGAACTCTGTAATGAAGTTGAGAATCACAGAAATTCTGTGGTCACAAAGCATATGTATGCTACAGGGACACACCCTTGAAAACTTCACGGACAAAATTCCACTTCAAAATGCTATTATAACTTGAAAATACTGATTAAACCAAAATGTTAAATAGGAGTTACAATGATGGATAAGTTATATTTATACGTGAGTCTTCATTTCCTCTCCTGGCTCAAAAATGACAAAACCAAACTATCTCCTCACAAGGAGTGCAACCAACTGAAGCAGAGAGATCACAGCCCAAAAGCCTTTTACCCCACCCATAAACGTTCTGTCTTAAATCTCACTAAAAAAATTTCAAGTAAGTAGCTACTGTTCAATGAGAGTAACTTACAAAATGTAAGGCTCCGCCCACTGTAAAGCACGTCACTGAACTACTCAGGGAAGAAATGCCAATTACAGTGTGATACTGTCAGAAATTGTAAGATGCCTTCTAATGTCAGAGATGTTAAAATGTGAAAAAAAAGGAGTTAGAATCCATGAAGTGGGGCATCTTTGACTTAGTTCCTCAATTTTACTAATTTCTAGCTCGTCTGAAAGACTTCGACACAAGATGGCTTACCTGCTAAATATTTAATGTTGTCAAGCTTGTGCGACTCCAGCATGGTTTTGAGGCCGGCGACCTCAGTGTCTATCTTCCGGTCGGTCTGGGTGACAGCCCGATCTTGCTGGGCATGCTTTAAAAACCGAGAGATGCACAGCATTAAACCAGCCGGGACACCTCTGGCCCCTTGGCTCCCCCCAGGGGCCCTCCCGGGCTGGGTGCAGTTGGAGGGAAAGCTGGGGTAAGACTGAGTAGGCCAGGCTGCCCTTCTGTCCTCACACTGTGTGCGTAATCAGGGCCTTTAATATTTCTGCGCCTGTTGCCTTTTGTTTGAAAATAAAGCAAAAACAAACAAACAAACCAACAAAAACAAAACCAGCGTGTTTGGGCAACTGAATGTGATAACCCACGTGGAAAAACGCTTTTGTAAATTAGACTGTTCTACAAATTAAGGTGAACATTACGAAGCCAGTCTGTCCTCAATGACAATGTGTCTCATCCTTCTAAATTCCTCTTGATGAGAGCAAGGCAAAAAATGCTTTGGAGAGGGAACGCAATCCTAGAGAAAAAGCAATGGTGCTTTGCCTCGACACAATTTCTATTCACATTTTCATGTTTTCTTCTTCTCACTTCAAACACCAACTGTTTTATTAGTATGAGGCTCGGTTATAGCGACGGCCTATTTTTGCTCTTTTCTACATATGATAAAGTTACACTCGATACATAACCCACCCCTAAACGGTGGTGAGTCTGGCTGATGTTATAAAGGAGTTGTAGTATTTCATTAATGCATAAAAGCACTGTAAATAATTCACTAAAAATCTTAGGACAGGTGACTATGATGGACCCTTGAACAACACTTGACTTTTACGTGACTTGTAAAAGTATAATTACCAGTACAGTAGTGTAAACGCATTTTCTTTTGTGACTTTAATAACATTCTTTCTCCAGCTTATTTCATTCCAAGAACAGTGTATATAACACACACAACATATAAAATACGTACTGACTACTGATGTCATCGGGAGGCCTTCAGTCACCAGCAGGCTACCGGCAGTGTGTGTTCGGGGAGTCAAAGTTATATGCAGAGTTCTGACTGCATGAGGGGGTCCCTCACCTCCCTAGTGATCACTGGTGGTTCTTACAGCTAACGATTCAGGAAATGAATAAGGAGAGAAGAGCCCGGATGAGTAGAAAACATTCCGGAGGAATCTTCTACTATTCTCTGATGGAAGCGCCTTACAAGCTGCAGAGGTCCCACGTCATACAGGATGGGAAAAAAGTCATGCCAGCCAGAAGCTCAACAACATAAAGCTCCGCTCTTCATTATTCTTCAGTCACTGAGCTTTAAACTTTCATGGCAATAATCAAATATTCGAGTAAGTGCAAAAAAAAATCCCAGGACACTCCACTTCCGGGTGCGTACCCCAAGAACTGACCGCGGGGGCCCCCACAGCGGTCCGCGCGCAGCCACGTTCAGGGCGGCACTACTCACAGCGGCCAGGAGGTGGCGGCAACGGTCGTGTCCACTGACCGGATCATCTAAATGTGCTCCCTCCGCAAAGGAGGGAAATTCTGACACGTGCTGCGGCACTGATGAACTTAAGGGCATTATGCTGCGTGAAAGAAGCCAGTCACAAAAGGGCCAATGCCGTATGACCCCACTTATACGAGGTCCCCAGGGCAGGCAAGCCCGCAGACAGAGTAGAATGGGGGAGAGGGGAACGGGGGTGTGTCGCGGGCAGCTTCAGTTCTCCAGGGTAAAGAGCTCTGCAGGGACGGCTGCGGAATGATGTGAGTGGGCCACTGCCTCCGGGAAGCGGTGCGGGTGGTGATTTCACGCGTGCTTTAGCACAACGAAAAGGAAACCCCCACGGACGCTAACCCTGCACGCACCGTCCCTGGAAGACGTCACAAACGACAGTAACCACGCGTGGGGGTGAAGCAGAGATGAACAGAACCATCAAGAAAGGTCGGTCTATGTCTTACCAACGCCACCATTTCTGTCCTCATCTCCAGCAGCTTCCTTTCATTCAACGAATACTGAAAACAAACACGTAACCCAGGTCAGATTCTGGTTTATTCCTTTCTCCCTTTCCTCCTCCTCTGGGCTCAGTACTTCAGAACACTAGAGATCACCTCTGGACTCAAGCAGCCTGCTGGCCCCCCTCTCCTTTAGGCGATTTTTCCCAACCTTCTCATTTCCAGCCACGCACCCCTCCGGTATCTGGAATCCTTTCTTCACCCTCCATCTTCTCTCCCTGGCTTCCCTCCTGTACCCTCCACCTCACCCCCCACCATCTCCATCTCCGGCTCTCACTTCGATGTGATGTCTTAGGCCCCTCCCACAAGGGGACCAATTTGCATGGCTGCTGAATCAGATGCTTTTTGGCTTTGAGAGGATCGAAAAACGCTGGGAACGATGCCGTTTGGGAGCTATCCCTTCACAATTACAAAACTGGTCACTACTTGAGGCTTAGACAAAGATAGGAGTTTTATAGAGCTGGGAAAATTAGTTTCGAGGAATATTATTCTGTGACACAGATATTGCCTAAAGATACTATGTAAATACATTGGTATAAGAAGTGCACGAAGCCGTCACATGTTGGTTCTAATTAAACAACCCACTTGGGTGCCGTCACAGTCCAGTGTTAATAAAGGAACTGCCTTAGCACTACCCAGAATCAAAATGGTATCTTGCCTTTGGCTTTTAATGTTTATGCAAAGATGTAGTACGATTTTGTTGACCTTGAGACCAAATTCGTACACAGTTCCTCAGCAATGGGCATTAGGATTTCACTGAGCTACTGAAAACCTATCATTTAAGTGAAAAATTAGCTTTTAATTCTTCACTAAATTAATATTTCTGGGGAGAAAACTGATACTTTAGTATCTAGAAACCTTCTAGCTATAAAAGTTCCCCCTGGAAATAGCAGAGGGATGGAGTATAAAGACAGTAATGCCCAGAAATTTTTTTTAAAAAAAGGGGGGAAAGAAAAAAAAATTTAATGTTTTATTTATTTCTGAGAGAGAGAGAGAGAGAAATAGAGAGAGAGAGAGAGAGAGGGAGAGAGAGAGAGGGAGAGAGAGAGAGACAGCGTGAGCAGGGGAGGGTCAAAGGGAGAGGGAGACACAGAATCCAAAACAAGTCTCCAGGCTCTGAGCTGTTAGCACAGAGCCCAATGCAGGGCTCAAACCCACAAACTGTGAGATCATGACCTGAGCCAAAGTCGGACGCTCAACTGATTGAGCTCCCCAGGCGCCCCAAGAGAAAAAAAAAACTCAACCCCCAAACCAAGGAGTAGCTTAGGACCAAAGAAAGCTCATCTCCTCTTTGTGTGCCAAGGTTTCAGAAGAGGAAAGAGCTATGCATCAAATCACCACAAGAGGGCAGGGTGGACTGGATTTTCCCGCAAACCCTTAAGATTCCAGTCTTCCTTCCCCAAGTCAGTATTGATTCAAGAGAAAAGAACAGCCGAACCTTGACACTGCTGTGGTTTTGAAAATAACTTCTATGTGACTCCATCTCCTTGCACCCCAAAGTAGTTTATAGGCTATACTGCTTTTGAAACTGGCTGTAAGTGAATCAGTATTATAACTTGATTATTTAATTTTATTATTACTTTTTAAGTAGGCTCCATGCCCAATGTGGGGCTTAAACTCATGACCTTGAGATTAAGAGTTGCATGCTCTACTGAGTCAGCCAGGCGCTCCAGAATTGTAACTTTACTAAACGAGGAAGCGGAGGGTCAGATAACATGCCTGTACTTCAAGGTTGCCCAAGTTCAGGATTACGGAGAACTACTTCTCAGCTAGGTTAATAAACCACATAAACTCACTGGCTTCAGCCCATGTTCATCAATCCCACCCCTTCCATCTCCTGGATGAACTTCTTCCCTACCTGGTTAGCTATGGGCTAAATCAAGTGCATTTAGATTTGTTGCTAGGTACACAACCCGTAGGGACAAACATAATTAAAAGAGTTTCTCTTCTTCTAGAAACTGATCAGATGCTAATGATTGTTAAATATTTTAGAGGTGCTAGGTGACTTCATCTTCACGGTTGAGAAAGATGAGAAAGGTGACATGGGCATGATAATTATTTGGCACAACAATGCTCAGCTTAACTCCTGAAATCCAGACACAGTTCCAAAGTAAAGTACCTATTTACATTTCAGTATTGGCTTCATTTATCATTGTAGCACATTTTGGTTACAAATTGTGAAAGATAAAAAGAATGAACACCGGTGCATACTCGGTTTCTCCAAGTGTATCCAGTTCTGTCTGTGAAAAATGCTTTGTACCCCCTATTTCTCACTATCCTAAGAATAAAGAAGGTATCTATCTAACTATTGCTATCAAGTTCAAATAAAGCCTGAAGGAGATGGATGGGTTAAAAATCGCTAGAGGCAACTCAACACGTATCTTTATTGGAACATATGCACTGAACCGTTATTTACAATCACGGAGACATGGAAGATGTAAATGTCCACTGATGGGTGAATGAAGAAAATGTGGTGTATAGGGGGCGTCTGGGTGGCTCACTTGGTTAAGCATCTGACTTAGGCTCAGGTCATGATCTCACAGGTTGTGGGTGCAAGGCCCCTGTCAGGCTCTGTGTTGACAGCTTGAAGCCTGGAGCCTGCTTCAGGTTCTGTCTTCCTCTCTCTTTCTTCGTTCCTCCCCCACTTGTGCAATCTCTCCCTCAAAAATAAATAAACATTAAAAAAAAAAAGGAATGTGACCTATGTACATATATACACACATATGTATGGACACGTATATACATCTATATACATCTATATATGTATATATACAAAATGAAATATTACTCAGCCATGAAAAAGAAGGAAATCTGCTACTGGGGACAACATGGATGGACCTTGGGTGATTAACTAAGAGAAAGGCAAATACTGTATGATCTCTCTTACATGTGGAATCTAAAATCTAAACCACCCCCCCCAAACAGAAAAGAAACACCTCAAGACCTGAGCCCACGGAGACCAGAACGGTGGTTGCCAAAGGTGGGAGCTGGGGGTGGGTGAAACGGAGCCAAAGCCACAGACTTACAGTTGTAACCACTGTGAAGTCCTGGGGTGTGGTTAATGGATGGCACGGCGGCTACAGGTACCTGTGCTATATTGTAGATTTCAAAGATGCTGAGAGAATAGATCGTGAAAGTTCTCATTGCAAGAAAAAACTTTTGTAACGATGTGTGATGACAGATGGTGACCAGATTTACAGTGGGGACAGTTCTGCAGTGCATACAAATATGAAACCATTACGTTGCATGCCTGAAACTAATATAATGTATAGATGTCCGTGATATTACTGTGAAAGCTCTGAGGGGTAAAAGTAACTTATCTGTATCATGTTTGAAAAAAGCAAGGGGAGCAGAACTCTATTTCCAGTTTTCTTGGGTCCCCGTACGGTACCCACAAGGTACTGTACAGGTGTACCAGTCAGCTTACTTACTCTGATATCTTTTTCGTAACAAATGTATACAAATACTCTTCCTAATTAAAAGCTTCAATGTAGCGTAACTTAAAGAAGCATTTAGAATTTGCATTTCAAAACAATGCAATAAAGCCATTAAGATGTCTCTATTAGGGGCGCCTGGTTGGCTCAGTGGGTTGAGCATCCGACTTCGGCTCAGATCATGGTCTCACAGTTCATGGGTTCGAGCCCCGCGTCGGGCTCTGTGCTGGCAGCTCAGAGCCTGGAGCCTGTTTCCGATTCTGTGCCTCCCTCTCTCTCTGATCCTCCCCTGCTCATGCTGTCTCTATCTCTCTCTCAAAAATAAATAAAATATTAAAAAAAGAATGTCTCTATTAAAAAAAAGGCCATATGTTTTGGATTCTGTGTGTGTCTCTCTCTCTGCCCCTCCCCAGCTCATGCTCTCTCTCAAAAGTAAATAACCTTAAAAAAAAAAAAGGCTATATGGAAATATTTTTTAATCCTGAATTTCAGTGTAGAATTTGCTATTAATAATTTAATATTCAAGACAGATCATTGACTTAATTTTTGAAGAATCAGGACCCGTGGAGGTTTAAGTTGGCTCAAACAGAGCAAGACTGAGTTTGGTTTCTCTGCTAATGTCTAAGTGACACATAATTTAGTCTCTCTGAAACAAGATTCAAACTTGACTTGACCAAGATTTTAATTTAAACAAAATTTTTTTTAAGATTTTAAGAAAGATTTTAAGTAATCTCTACACACAACGTGGGGCTCGAACTCATGACCCGGAGATCAAGAGTCACATGCTCCACGGATTGGGCCAGCCAGGCACCCCTTCCAAAATTTTCATTTTAATGCTAGTTTTGAAAGCATCAAATTTAAGCTCTAGGCCAAAATCAGAATTAAAGAGAAAACCATCTAACAAGAGTACGTTTAACAGTACTGGTGAACTGTATACAAACCCAGGCTTGACCAAGTACACCATCCTGCAAGGAAATGAATTTGCACTGTTTTTAATAAAGGGACATACCAATTCCTTCACTCTGCTCTTTTCTAGATTGAACTCTAATTTGGTATCTGTTCGGACTTTGACCACTTCATCCTAGGAGGAGGGCAAACGACAAGAAAGAAAGAAATCCACAGTGAGAAACGGAAACCACAGGATGTGAGGCCTAGGAGAGTGCCGGGCGGCTTCTGCCCGGGGCGGCCAGCTGAGGCCCGGGGCAGAGGGCAGGGGCTCTCGGAGACATGGGGCCATGGGTCGAGAGACTCATCCCGGGTCGAGAGACTCATCCCGGGTCGAGAGACCCATCCCGGGTCGAGAGACTCATCCCGGGTCGAGAGACCCATCCCGGGTCGAGCCACGGCTGGGCCCAGCCCTGTCGTGGGAATTCCCAGTGGTACATACAAAGAATCCCCTTTTGTGCTCAAGTCAGTCCAGAGTGGGTTACTATTGACTTTAACCTCAAGATTCCCAGTGTAATCTCCATAGAATTTATAGCTAAGGCTCCCTGGACAGCTCTGGAAAACAGACCTGGGCTCAAAGAAAGAAAATACTGAATTCTAGTTTAAATAAAGCCTTCTTTCTCACACTCGCCTGAACCTTTTCTTCCTTAACATCCATGTCCTTTCCACTGGGGGGGAAAAAAAATCAAACAGCTGGGACAGGAAGCATTTTAAAACCACAGGTAATTCTCTAAGGCCAGTCTTTTCTCTTTTTTCTTTTTTTTTTTTTTGTTACATATGGAATATTGTTTTTATTTTTTTGTTTTCTTTTCTTAGTTTATTGTCAGGTGGGTTCCATATAACACCTAGTGCTCATCCCCACAAGTGCCCTCCTCCATGCCCATCACCCCCCTTCCCCTCCCCCAACCCCATCTGCCCTCAGTTTGTTCTTGGCATTCAAGAGTCTCTCATGGTTTGCCTCCCTCCCTCTCCCCAACTATTTGCCCCCTTCTTCTCCCCCATGGTCCTCCGTTAAGTTCCTCCTAATCCTCCTATACGTGCAAACATATGGTATCTGTCCTTCTCCGCTTGACTTATTTTGCTCAGCATAACACCTTCAAGTTCAACACCCTAAGGCCAGTCTTTTCTAAGAGAATCTAAAGGTTCCATGTGGCTACTTAAAATTTTTTTTATTTGAAAATGACTTAATTCATCCTAGAACACAATTTTCTTAATGAATTTGGTTACAGACATCACTCGTTTCTTCAGTGATTATGTCCTTAGCTAAACCTTCCAGTGTGTACTTCTGAGACCTATTCCACAAATTATTAACACCGAACTAAAGCGCTTCTGACGTTATATTTATCACTACGCTTATGTAACTGCAAACAAACCACAGGCATCATGATCTTACCATTATTTGTTGTTTTAACCGATGTAGCTCGAGGTTTATTTTCTAAAAACATATTAAAAAAAAAAAGTCAAGGCTATGTTTAGAAGGTTAGGAAAAAAATACAGAAAACTTGATAATAAAAACACACGAGAACACGTATTTGTGCACGAGTTTTCCTAATTCTTTCCCCAGTGTACGTGAACCTGGCTGTATCCAGAATGAAACATGAACTGAACAGCCTCCCCCCCAGAAATCTATCATGCTGGACGGTAAGACCACGCATGTGCCTCCTTTGAGATCAGTTTTAATTCATTTTGAAAGTTACGTAAAATCAGTAATACAACGGTTTTTAACATACATGTTTGCCTCCAGAGACCCTGCTTTAACACCTCCTTCCATTTTTAACAAATTCTGCCTTCAAGTAGCTGATTTCAAGGTCAAATGTGAGAGTTTCAAACTCTACCAGTTTCTAGCAAAAGAAGGAATCTTTTACTAGAAGGCTTCTTACAAGGGTAGGATCAACCAGTAATAAGTGGATGTCCTCGGTGGAACTCTAACTGGGACTGAAAACAAAAGGCAGGATGCAAACATAGCACTTACTGAAATGTTGACCCTACACGCTGCACTTTAGAAACCACGGGATACTTTACAAACCACTTGTTCACAAGAACCCCAAACTGGAAACAATTCTAATGTGCACTTGACCCTCGAACAATGCAGAGGTTAGGGGCACTGGTCCCCCACACCGTTAAAAATCTGCGTATAACTTTTGACTCCCCCCAACTTACCTACTAATAGGCTACTGTTGACTGGAAGCCTTCCCTATAGCACGACACATACTTTGCACGTACTATGTGTAATATATTATCTTCTTACAGTAAAGTAAGCCAGAGAAAAGGAAATTTTATTCACAGAGAGAGTGTGAGCAGGAGAGGGGCAGAGAGAGAGGGAGACACAGAATCTGAAGCAGGCTCCAGGCTCCAGGCTGTCAGCACAGAGCCTGATGCGGGGCCTGAATTCACAAGCTGTGACATCCTGACCTGAGCTGAAGTCAGACGCTTAGCCACCTGAGTCCCCCAGGCACCCTGGGATAGGAATCCATGTTAGGAACACACATTTACTGCACTGCGTTAAGTGGACCTGTTCAGCTCAAACCCACGCTGTTCAGGGGTCCACTGTCCGTCCCAAGAGAATAATGGGGCACATGTGCAAGATCCTACAGACAGTGGACAAGAACAATCTACTGCTCCAAGAAACACTGAACGCTTCTACCGGATGAAGTTCTGGAAAAGGCAAAACTGGTCAGTGGTGTCACAGGTTAGGACAGTGGTTTCCTAGCAGGGTGGGGGTCAGCAGATTTCTGGGGTCCCAACAATAATCTACTTCCTGACCTCACTGGGAGTGCACACCCCCTGAGAGCACGACTCTGGTACACTTTTATCTCTGCACGTTAGTTCTCTGTAAGTACGAGGGGTGCTTTAGTTTTACCTCATTTTCGGCTCTGAGGGCTGAAAATTCACTCTTCTCCAAGATAATCATATCTTTTTTCACATTGGCAATCTGAGACATTAGTTGCTGAACAGTGATCTCCTAGGAAGAGAGAAACAAAACATATAAACAACCTGGGCCGGCCCAGGACACCCGCCTCCTACCTGGTATCACCTTTGAGAGAAACCAGAAGAATGCGGACATGAGAAAGGAAGTTCGGCAAGGTCATGCTCTACTGATGAGAAAAGGAAGCTGATAAAGACTCAAGTCCAGTATCATCAAGTGAGCCACAATTAGAAGGGTGGCAGTCTGAGGGCCAGCCGCTCGGGAACACACGGCTATGAGGTCTCCGTGTAAGGCTGGTGGACGGGAACAGCCCGTGTTCACGCACAGGGAGTTTTCCAGCATGATTCTAGAACAGCTGACAAAACAGCTTCAAGTATGTATTTTGTATACCACTGGAATCACGTGCCTCTCAACTGTGGTTCAAAGTACTATGTGCTTGTCAATAGAATTTTATCCAAAAACATGTATCACAAATAACATCCCAGGTTTAGACTTCACGTTTGCTGCGGGGCCCAAAGCTAACCTGCTGCATCTTCGTGACCATATCCTTATAGACGATATCCATGTTGGTGTCCGTGATCTTGACCAATGCAGAGACGGTGATTTCGGCTTGCTGCGTGGTAAACCCTAAGCGAACACACACAGTCACGCTCTGGAGTCTCCATTTGTCAGAAAAAAAAAAACAAAAAACAGGGAAAAAAACACTTCACAGAAAGGGAGAAAGTGAATTCAGAAAGCTTAGCGTGTCCAGGGTGTGGTGTGTCTGTCACTCTGGACAAGCTGGACACTTCGGAGTCTGTTTCTCCATGTAAGATCAAGGGTCGGGCTGGTGTCCCCTAACATCCCATCCTGCTGCCAAAATCACGCTTCCAGAGACTGTCTCACGACAGAGAGGAAGCCTGCCGTGTGGGGTCAAGGGAAGGAACGCAAGACTCAAAATTAGATACCGTTCACTGCTTTTGTAATTTAACAAAGATCCTAGGTAATTATTATTTTCTTCCGTGTGGTCTACATTTTCTAGGTTGACATGACTTCATGAATTTTAAAATGTACGTGTAAGTAAAGAATCATTTACATAAGTAGGAAAGCTCAATTATTTTACAGCCTGCATAAATCCGTCAACTCATCAACCACATAAGGATAACTAGTAATTTAGCTGTTAATTTATTTGATGTTAAGATAAAATCATTCTTTTATTTTTCCTCTACAGGTGTCTTGGGTCACTTGTGGAGACGGGGCCAGGCTGGAAAAAAAATATTCTTTGCTACTCAGTAAATGATACTGAACTGAATTATATTAACATCCAACTCAGCAGTGTTAGTTTCTAATAACTTTAGATGGTAATTCGCATTTCACACTGGAAATCCTAATAAAAATGCTTAAAATCAAGTCCCTGGAGAGTAATTGTTTTCTATTAAATACTTCCATCCATAAGGACTACAGAAGAATCTACTGATTTGTGTAATTAAAAGCATGTTTGAATAAAGTTGTAACTGATACAATTTGGATCTGACGAAGCACAGGACTAAAAGTTTTAAAAACCAAAGGCAAAGATTTGAAAGAGACAAAAAGGGCCTCCAAAGACCTACTCCCTTCACTTTATTAGAAATCCTTTAGTTTTCAACATGTGGGTCATGCACATTTAGAAAAATCATCCAAAAGGTTTCCCACTGAAATGTTAATGCTCTTTAGCTCTGGGGTACTGGGATTCAGAACAGTTTTGGTTGTTTGTTTCTTTTCTGCCTTCCCCACTTTTTGAAAACAAAAATGCACCTTGCAATTTTTGAAACTTCATGAGGCGTTCCTAGTTAAATATAGTTTGGCAGTGATGAATGAAAAAGAAAGAGAAACCGGAAGAGAACTTATACTGATAAGAAACTCCACAAACTTAAATTATAACCACCCGAGGGAGGAAAGAGGAATAAGAAAAAGCAGGAGTCAGTCAGGCCTAAAACGCTACTGGGTTACCAGGTACAAGTGAATGTTTTGTCAGAAGGAGAGAACAATTCACGATCAGGGCTGCTGCAGCTGCAGACAAATGGGAAGTTCTCTCCGGCAGGAGACACGTGCGGAGAAGAGAAGGGCAGAGGGTGGGAGGTTCCCGGCCCGGTCCTCTGGGCCCCACCCTACAGCACCTCGGACCTGGATCGTTCCCCGGAGAGGCCTCATTTCCCCCCCCCCCCGGGCAGCAAGGTCCTACCAACACCAGCCCTGAGACATGCGAACGCTCAGGGTCAAGGTCTGAAATCAAGAAAAGCAGGAAGCACATCTATCGAAACATCACATTTTAAAACTTTAAACATGAACAATTTTTATTTATCAAAAATAAATAAGCAAGTCGACCTGTGGGGGGGGGGGAATAAACCGCACCTGTTAGCAGGAGGTAGCTCCGCGGCCATCTCACGGCCACTGCAGCTACACTTAGCGAAATGCAGGCCGCTTCCCCGCCATCACCAACCACCTGCACGCGGCGAAACCTCTCCACTATCTTGCACGTGTCCTTTTACATTATGTTACTTTCAGTGCAAGAACACAAGGCCCGCAGAAAGGAGGGGAAAGTAGGAAGACTTCTGCTCATCGAGATGATTCTTACGCCCCTCCTCTCACTGATACTTTTCTTTCTTTAAGTTCTAAGCTGAAAGACCTTCTGGTGAAAGAAAGGCCTACTGTTTCAACTTTGAGAAGGAACGTGGTGAAAGTTATGACCCAGCGCTTGACCGTATTTCCTTTACTTCTCAAAAGGGTCTTTGGAATTCTTACTGTGCCGACGCTACCGATGAGATGAGGAGCTGGCACCTGGGAAGGATGACAGAGCTGCCTGGCTTTGCAGCGGGGCCCCGGGCAGAGCTTGAACCCAGGACTTCCCACGCCCCCACACGAGCACAGAACTCATGCCGTCGCGTGTCCTGGGCAACGGAAGCATGGCTACCGAGGGCGGCCCGGAGGGATGGCCACACAGTGCGGCAGAGTCACAGTACAGGAATGAGAACTGGTGTGAAAAGAGAATGTCAGGTGGCCAAGTGTCAGACTTTGGCCCAGGTCATGACCCCATGTTTTGTGGGTTTGAGCCCCGCATCAGGCTTGCAGCTGTCAGCACAGAGCCTGGAGTCTGCTTTGGATCCCCCCCACTCCTCTGCCCCTCCTCCACTACACTCTCCTCCCAAAAATAAACATTTAAAAAATAATAAGAGAATGTTACCATAAAAAATGCCACAAGTTAGAATTATTAGCAATTGCTGCTCAGCAAAACTTTAACTGCATAAAAATTCTCAAAGCACACAACATGCGCAGTAAGAAAACTACCACTTCTGTGCCTCAGACAGCTGTCAGAGGGACCATGTCTGAGCTTTGTTAACTGTGTCTAAATTTTTATCTAGAACGCTGTACTTCTAGAATGATGTTATAAAAAATATACTTCTTAGGGCGCCTGGGTGGCTCAGTTGGTTAAGCATCCAACTTCGGCTCAGGTCATGATCTCGTGGTTCGTGGGTCCGAGCCCTGGGTCGGGCTCTGTGCTGACCGCTCAGAGCCTGGAGCCTGCTTCGGATTCTGTGTCTCCCTCTCTCTCTGCCCTCGCCCTGTTCAAGCTGTCTCTCTCTCAAAAATAAACAAACATTAAAAAAGATTTTTTTAAATACAATTCTTCTGGACAGAGAGAAAATGGGTGGGGAAAGTCTCAATGGTACCGATAAAGTGAAAATGCCCATAAGCAAAAAATAAGAACTTAAAAAATGGAGATTGACCAATAGATTACCTTGTAGACTTAGAAATCAAAGAATAATATAAGAAATTAGATAAGATCATGAGAAGTCATATTTTATAGCGTGGCATTGAACTTGGTGCAAAGGATTACCATTTTCTTCGAGTAAGCACACTAAGGCATGGGTGTCGAAGTAGAGCTTCCTGTTCCCGCAAGAGGCGAAGTCCCCCCTTTTCTGCTCCACATCTCTCCGGCGCTCCAGCTGCAGGCTCCCAGCAGAGAGGCTTAGCTCTAGAATGGAAAGGCCAGTAAAGCTCAAAACAGGTCCCGGTGGTAACAGAAGCCGTGAAAGAATGTGGCATACCTCCAAAGCCACCTGTTGGGGTTTTTTTAAGTTTATTTTTTTTAAAGTCATCTCTATACCTAAGGTGGGGCTCAAACTCACAACCCCAAGATCAAGAGTTGAATACTCTTCTGAATGAGCCAGCCAGGCACCTCTCTTTTTTTTTTAACAGCTTTATTGAGATGTAATTCACATACCATAACAATTTGCCCATTCCAACTGTTCGATTCAATTTGTACTATAATTACAGAGTTGTGCAACCTTCTCCACAGTCAGCTCTAGAACATTTCCATCTATCTAAAAAGAAATCCTGGACCCTTTAGCTATCACGCCCCAATCTCCGTTCTCCCCGACCCCCACACTACCCCTAATCTACTTTCTGTCTCTATGCATTAGCCTCCTCTGGGTATTTCACAGGAATAGATCATAAAGGATGTGTTTGTGACTGGTTTCTTTCACTTTGGGGAGGTTTTCAAGGTTCACCTACCTTGTAATTAAGTGCACTTTGTATACCTTTTTATTGCCGAATCACATTCTGTTTCAGGAATATACTTATTTTTGTCTTATCTATTCCTTGGTTGAAGGACATCTGAGTTGTTTCCACTTCCTGGCTATTAGGAATGCTGCTGCTGTGAACATTATTGTGAGATTTTGTGTGACCAAGTTCTCAATTCTCTTGGATAGTCAGGATTCAAACTGTTGCATCATATAGTGACTGTGTTTAACCCTATGAGGTTATGACAGGCTGTTTTCCAAAGTGGCTATGCCATTTTTCATTCCCAACAGCAGTGTCCGAGGGATACAATTTCTCTACATTCTCAACACTTGTAATTGCTTTTTTTTTATTATAATCATCCTAATGGGTATAAAGTTTTATTTTACTATTATTATATTTAGATGTCTCTTCAACTATGGGATTTACTTATTTATTCTCTATAATTAAGAGTCTGTTTCTTGGCTTATCTCTCACATTTCCTCCCTTTGTTTCTTAAATTCCACATTTGAGTGAAATCATATGGTATTTGTCTTTCTCTGACTTATTTCGTTTAGCAGTGCACTCTCTAGCCCCATCCATGTCATTGCAAATGGCAAGATTTTATTCTCTTTATGACTGAATAATATTCCATGGTATATCTACACCACATCTTCTGTACCCATTCATCAGTCGATGGACACTTGGGCTGCTTCCATAATTCGGCTGTTGTAAATAATGCTGCGATAAACAGGAGTAGCTCACTGTTGTTTTCATTTGCGCTTCTCTGATGCCTAATGATCTTGAGCATCTTTTAATGGACTTATTGGCCATTTGTGTATCTTCCTTGGAGAAATATCCATTCGGATCCTTTGCCCACTTAAAAAAACTGGGTTATCTTTTCATTATTGAGTTGGTTGTTAAGAGTTCTTTATACATTTTGGACACAAATTCCTTATCATTTATATAACTTGGAAATATTCTCTCCCATTCTGTGGGCTGGCTCTCACTTTCTTGATGGTGCCTTCTGAAGCATGATAGGTTTTTATTTTAATGAAGTTCTATTTATTTTTTTCTTTTGTTCCTTGTGCTTTTGGGGTCGTACCTAAGAAACCACTGGCTAATTCCAGGAAATTTACACCTATTTTTTTCTTCTAAAAGTTTTACAGTTTCAGCTCTTATATTTAGGTCTTTGGTCCATTTAACTTTTATGTGGTGTGAGATGAGGGTTCAACTTCTTTTGCGTGTGGATGTCCAGTTGTTTTGGCATTACTTTGGAATTTGTCAAAAATCAATTGACTGAAAATGTAAGGGTTTATCTCTGGGCTCTCCACTATATACCACTGATTTCTATCTGTTCTTAACAGCAGTGCCACATTTTCTTGATTACTTGTAGCTCCATAGTATAAGTTTTTATATCAGGAAAGGAGTCTTCTAGTTTTGTTCTTTTTCAAGATTGCCTTGGCTATTCTGAATCCCTTGCATTTCCAAATGAATTTTAGGATCAGTTTACCAATTTCTGCAAAGAAGACACTTGGAACTTTGAGAGATTGTTTTAAATCTGTATATCAGTTTGGGGGAGTACAAATACGATCCATGAACATAGGATGTCTTTCCATTTGTTTAGGTCTTAAATTTCTTCTTCTTTTTTTGACACTTATTTATTTTTGAGAGACCGAGACAGAGCACGAGTGGGAGGGGGGCAGAGAGAGAGAGAGAGGAAGACATAGAATCCAATGCAGGGCTCGGACCCGTGAACTGTGAGATCATGACGCAAACCAAAGACAGATGCTTAACCAGCTGAGCCATCCAGGTGCCCCTAGGTCTTTAATTTTTTTAATAATGTTATGTAGGTTTCAAAGTAGAGCTGACACTTGAACACAGGTTTTAACCACATGGGTACACTTATACACAGATTTTTACAGTATAGTACTGTAAATGCATTTCCCCATCTTTATGATTTCCTTGGTAACATTTTCTTTTCTCTAGCTTACACCATGTGTAAGAATAAAACACATGTAATATATAAAATATTACATTTTATATAACTGTCTATTAGGTAAAACTTCTGGCCAACAGTAAGCTATTACCAGTTAAGTTTTTGGGAAGTTATACACAGATTTTCAACTGTGTGGGAGTTGGCACTCATAACCCCTGTATTGTTCAAGTGTCATATAAGTCCTATGGGTTTTTATGTTAAATGTATCCCTAAGTATTTTATTCTTTTTGATGCTACTATAAAGGGAATTGTTTTTGAGATTTTTCAGATTGTTCATTCTAGTGTAGAGTAATGCAACTGATTTTTTGGGTTTGTTTTTTTTTTTTTGCATTTTTAATTTTGATCTTGTATCCTGCAATGTTGCTGAACTTGTTAATTAGCTCTAATAGTTTTTTAGTGAATTCCTTCGAGTCTTCTATGTACACGATTAAGTCATCTGTAAACAGTGATGGTTTTACTTCTTGTGTGGATGTCTTTTGTCTTGCCCTGGTTAGAACTTCTAGTACAATGCTGCATAGATGGCGATGGCCGAAGTCCTTGCTCCTGATCTGTGGTGGGAAACTGTTCGTCTTTCACTATTAAGAATGATGTTTAGCCGTGGGTTTTTCACAGATGCCTTTTACCAGTGAGGCAGTTCCCTTCTATTCCTAATCTGTCAAGTGCTTTTTCTCATGAAAGGGTGCTGAGTGTTGTCAAATTCTTTGTCTCCTGAGATGATCACATGGTTTCTCTTCTTTATTTTTTTCAATAATAAAATAACTCAGTACGTGAATTGACTTTCAGTTGTTAAAACGAGCCTGCAGCTCCTGGGACAGAATCTCCTTTGGTCACGATGCACATACTCCTTCCTTCTGTATTGCTGGATTTGACTGGCTGAGTGTTTTGCTGAGGACTTTTGTGTCTTTATTCCTAAGAGGTATTGGTGTGTAGTTTTCATTCTTTGTGATGTCTCTGCAAAAGCCTATCTTGAGAGAGAGGTGTCCTAACAATTTGTATACCACCTTTTCTATGAATTTCCCTGCATTTAGTCACAGATCCCACTCATTTTGTAAACTTGTTTCGAGGTTTTCTGGCTTTTTGTATTTCATGAACCATAAAAATAGTTTTAAAAAATATGTAACAATAGTAATGCCAATTATTAATTCTGTCAAGAAAGGACATTTAAACATTAACAGCTCCTGGGGCACCTGGGTGGCTCAGTCGGTTGGGCGTCCGACTTTGGCTCAGGTCATGATCTCAAGGTTTGTAGGTTCGAGCTCTGCATCGGGCTCTGGGCTGACAGCTCAGAGCCTGGAGCCTGCTTCAGATTCTGTATCTCCCTCCCTCTCTGCTCCTCCCTTGCTCATGCTGTGTCTCTCTCTCTCAAAAATAAATATTAAAAATTAAAAAAAAATAAACATAACAACTCCTAACTATTACAACCATGATATAAAAGACATTTTCAAAGCAAAAGAAAAAAAAAAGAGATGAACAATATAAAAAAAAACCCTTTCATCTAAGTGTAATAAACATAGCTGTATGAAAACACTGCCTCATATTTGCCCATACTTTTCTACGATGCCAGGTTTGGAGGAGAGTGGTAGAAGAAAGAACAGTCACTACTAACTCAGAGAGAGTTCAAAGGTTTTCTCGGGAAGACCCCTAAGTAACCAGAAAGATAGTTCTGCTAATGAGCTCCTAAAGTCAATCCTTCACCTCTAAACATTTTAAAGGCAATTGCATGTACGCAAAAACGTGGCGTGGACGGGACCCTCCAGATCTGATGCCTGTCTGTAAGCCCACAGCGGTGGTTCCTGCCTTGCAAAGAGGGTCGGTCAGTATCCAGAGAAGCACAAGAGATCCAACAATCATTTTGTGCCACACGCTGTGTGCAGATGAAATATAAAATGCAACAACTATTATATGTAGGTGTGAGCTTAATGGTTAAACAAACAAACAAACAAATGCCTTTACTTCCAGAGAACCACTAGCCTACAGAACAAGGTCCTTGGCAAGGGGCGCGTGAGGGGCCCAGTTGGTTAAGTATCTGACTTTGGCCCAAGTCATGATCTCAAGGTTCGTGAGTTCGAGCCCGCTTTCTCCCCTCACTCTCTGCCCCTCCCACACTCATATTTTTTTCTTTCTCTCAAAATAAATAAACTTAAAAAAAAAAAAAAGTTGGGGGGAGGGGCCTGGGCAAGGCATACCAATACAAAGCCTGTCCTGATTTAGCCCACGCTTGCCCTTTCAGCTTTCTTCCCAGCCTCCTAAGCTGCACTGCACTTCTATAACCTCGGTACTCCATCCTTAAGTCCGCTTTGCCCCCCTTTTTCAACTGGTAAATTTGAAGAAATCGTTCTATGCTTCTTCATTTAATTTTACAGTCTGCCAAGCACAGATTATGTTCCGGGCGGGGCGTGACGCTACACTGTAGGGTTCTGTCTGCGAGCTCCGCCCAGGTCTGGAGGCAGCCTGATGGCTTCTTCTCTGTGTCCTCAGCCCAGTTCAGAGAGCTCTATCACAGCACTTCCTGTATCATTTCCACCTCGGTGTCATCTATTAGTGCAAATGTCCCAGGAGCAGCCAGTCTGAGTCGTGTGCGCACTGGTAGCATCTAGCAGAAGGCCTGGCATACTGCAGGACGGAAGTATTATTTTTTTCTTTTAGTGTTTGTTTATTTGAGAGGGACAGAGAGTGTGAGCAGGGGAGGGGCAGAGAGAGAATCCCAAGCAGGCTCCGCACTGTCAGCACAAGCCCAACGTGGGGCTCGATCTCCCAAACCATGAGATCATGACCTGAGCCGAAATTACGAGTTGGACGCTTTAACTGAGTGAGCCACCCAGGTGCCCCCAGGAAAAAAAATGTTTAAGAGAACTTTATGATCTGGATCAGGGGACTGTCTAGTAAGAAAATTTGAAATCAACTCCTTTCCCTTCTTCACCAATGATCTTTCTTTTTCACAGAAGTTAGCTCAGTTAAATCTGGTCTTGTTTCACCCTTTATGACCAGCCCTGAGATAAAAGCGGCCTCTGAGAGAAGGGGCCACGAATGCCTGCCTGACTCAGAACAGACCTAGCTCAAGGAACGACAGTGGGGAACAAATGAATGAACGAATCTCTCACGGGGCTGTCTAGAGGTTTATCCTCCCATTTTTCAGCTGTGCCGAAGTATCCCATGTGTCACGGAGCTTGAAAACACTGGAATCTAGAGGTGGCTTGTGAAGAGTGATGGACTTTTCTAGTATCGAATGTCGTTTCCACCAACAAAATAATCATTTGTGTGATTTAAAACATCTCTCTCTCTCAGACACACACACCCCCTAAATACACTATCCCAATTACTTTTGAAGCAAGAGCTAATTCCAAACTTAGACACTGCAGATTTTTTTCTCATCCTAAAACAACTGGAATTTATTCCAACTGTAACGAAATATGGACTGCCATTTGAAAAGTGGGGAAAAGCCTCTGGAAAACAGTGTGGAGGTTCCTAAGGAAACTAACAACAGAACTCCCCTATGACCCAGCAATAGCCCTGCTAGGAATTTACCCAAGGGATACAGAAATGCTGAGGCATAGGAGCACATGTACCCCAATGTTCATAGCAGCACTCTCCACAATAGCTAAAACATGGAAAGAGCCTAAGTGTCCATCAACGGACGAATGGATCATGAAGATGTGGTTTATCTATACCATGGAATACTACATGGCAATGAGAAAGAATGAAATCTGGCCATTTGTGGCAACGTGGATGGAACTGGAAGGTATTATGCTGAGCGAAATAAGTCAGGCAGAGAAGGACAAATATCATATGTTTGCACGTATAGGAGGATTAGGAGGAACTTGATGGAGGAACAAGGGGGAGAAGAAGGGGGGAAATGGTGGGGGAAAGGGAGAGAGGCAAACCACGAGAGACTCTTGAATGGTGACAAAAACTGAGGACTGATGGATGTGGGGGGGAGGGGGGGATGGGCATGGAGGAGGGCACTGTGGGGATGAGCACTGGGTGTTATGTGGAAACTAATTTGACAATAAACTATTTGTAAAAAAAAAAAAAAAAAAAAAGTGGGGAAAAGAGCAGGCCACTTGTCACTTGGCAGGCCAAGCCCTGCTGAAGGAAGCTCAGTGCCATCCTGCCTTCTGTCCAAGGGCATAGCCCAGGGAGGAGCAATATTCTGGCGTTCGGAACACCTCTGACTCATTTTTCTTCCTTTATTGTGACAACAAAGGGAGGCCCAAGAACTCTGAATTCCCACTAATAACCAGGAAGCAAGTAATGGGAGCTACGCTAAAGTGGAATGTGTAATTCTCCTTTGCAGGGACCATCAGGCTATCCAAAGGATAATAAAAATACGCACAAAAGAAGCCCAAAGTTGACCTTGAACAGAAACCAAGCACAAACTTCCTATTCGGAACATCCTTAAGTCTCAGTAGCCCTGGCATGGAACACATCATGAGGCTGGAGGTAAAGGAACAAAAACTCATTTGCACACACACTCCTTAAGCGTGTCTGGGCTGTTTCCCCATATTTCGGCATCCATCCTCACGCCGTGAAGAACGAGATCCTTTGAGACTAATCCAGCAGTCAAGAGACTAATCTTCTTGACACACGGTCAGAAAACAGATGAGAAGGAAGACTCTTCCCTTTTGCCCCATCATCTCTAATTATGAAATGAAAATAAATCATAAGTTACCAGCCTGTCAAAAAAAAGGAAAAAAAGAGAGCAAAAGGCAAAAGTACTGAAATAAAGACCAAAGTCACTACTAAGTCAAAATTAATGCAGGACACTGACACCGTTTACATGTAAAGCTTCCTTCTTTCACTTTCTTCCTCTCCCAGTCAATTTCTCCCCCAGCCATAGGCATTCTTACATTTCAGACGCAGTCAACATTTACTGGGCATGACTACTGAGGAACACGGGATTAATAAATAAATAAATAGCCACCAGTGTAGCTACTGATGGCTACTGACTGCTACGTACGTATAGCCCAAAGTGATATTTTTGCCTTTTGCTAATGAATAAAGGTTACCGCAAATGATGGATATATGAATGAACAATCTGCCGCCTGGTAAACTTGAGCCTGTTTTAGGCTTCCCTAATCTTGAAGCAGGGCAGTGACTGCCCTCACCTTCCAGTATGTCATCAAATGCGACCTTCTCAGTGAAACCTATTCGGATAACATAGCTAGAGGCCCACCTCCCGTCCTCACCCTTACCCCCTCTGCTTTCTTCCCCCCTACAGAATGTATCCCTTGCATACCGAGATTACATACCTATATGTAAATTACATGTGTTATGTGTAAGTTACAGCTGTCAAGCCCTAGCATCTCCTCTGCTACAGTGAAGATCCGAGATTTTGTCAGCTGATATACACGGCAAGGACCCAGACAAGTGCCAAACGCAGAACAGGCAACTAGTGCTTAAGGAGTTAGTAAATCCATTAGAGTGGGGGGGGGGGGGCGCCTGGGTGGCTCAGGTCAGATCTCACCGTTTGTGAATTCCTTGGGAGCCTGGATGGAGCCTGCTTCCGATTCTAGGGCTCCCTCTCTAGGGCTCTCTAGGGCTAGCTCTCTAGGGAGCCCCTCCCCCGCTCACTCTACGTCTCTCTTAAAAATAAACCAACTTAAAAAAAAAACATCCACGAGAGTCGGAAATTCAACGGCGCTAAGCTCGCAGGCCCCCGGAGGCGCGACGGGAAGGACGCGGCGGCGGCGGCGCCCACGGGCGGCTCCCCACCCTGCGCGCGGCCCGAGCCAACCGCGCGGCACACACCTGGGGCCCGGGCCTCCGCGGGTCACCAGGGCAGGGCCGCACGGACCTTCGTCCCCACGCCCCAGAGGCGCCCGGCGACCTCGGCTGGCCCGGCCCGTGGGTCGCCGAGCCCTCCCCCCACCCGCCCCCCGCCCAGCTCGGGAGCTCCAAGCCAGAGCCGCCCCCGGCCCGCCCGCCCCCTCACCGGCATCCCGCGGCCCTCACCTCTCCGGGAGGAAGCGAGGGCGGCCACTCGGCTGTGGCACAGGCGGAGGGCGCCCGCGGCCGAAGCGACGCCCGGGGCGAGGCCCCGCAGGCACCTCCCGGCGCCGCCGCGGCCGGCCGGGGGGACGCAGGGCCCCGCGCGCGAGCGCTCCGGGTCCGCGAGGGGCCGGCGCGGGGAGGCGGCGGCGGCCAGGCGCGGGGAGGGCACGAGCAGGAGGAGGAGCAGCGGGGAGGCACGTGACGCGCCGCCGCCGGCCGCGGGGGCGCGGGGCCGTAGCGCCCCTGAAGTCCCGGGCAGCGCGGACAGGCAGTGGCGCGCCGGGACGCCGCGGCTGCCGGGGCTCCCGCAGCGGCCGGGAGGCAGGAAGAGCAGAAGCCGGCGGCGGCCCGCCACGAAGCCGCAGTCCATCGCCGCGGGGGTCACCGGCCCGGCCGCGCGCTCATGCCGCCCCTCGCGCGGCGCCGGCCTGCGTCGGACGCCGGGGCGGCTGCGGGCGGCGGCCTCGGCCCGCCCTTTCCTGCTCCGCCGCCGGGCTCCGGGCGCGCGCCGGGGCGGGGCGGGGCGGGGCGGGGCAAGGGGCGGGGTCGGCCCCGGACTCCGCGAGAGGGGCGAGCCCCGGGCCGGCTCTGCGGGGTGGAGGCGGCGCGCGCTCCCGGATCCGGATTGCCTGCGGGGCCACGATTTGCATATGCAGTGCTGCGGTGTCCTTACAAAGAAATTAATTACTCTGGCGCCCTTCAGAGTCCGGTGAAAAGTCCCCGCACCACCAGGCTGCCCTGGTGAGTTTTCTGTGCGAAGTCCTCCAAAGTGTGGCCCTTGGGTGCACGTTAAGGAATAGACAGGGCCGAGGGAGTGGCGCTGACTTAGCCAATACATTTTAAAGGCTAAACTTCAGAGCTTTTGTTTCCGGATTAGTACACAATCTGGGGAATTTAAAACGTGGGGCATGTATGTTAACTGAGACCTGATGGCGGAGGATATCTGACACTAAGTGGTGTTCAGTTCAGTGAACTTTCTGGACGCCTCGCGCACCTGTCTCGGTTACAGGTCGGTCTGTTGTGAGACCTCGGTAGGCGTTTCCTGAGCGATGGAATAAAACGCGCAAGGCTCAAGGCTTGGAGATAGAAAAATGAGCTGTTTTTCTCCTCCGGGAGTTTTCTTACACACTTACATTATGTCCACATACATGATGGAAGGAGAACACGTGATGAGCCATAAGAGCTACAAAGTGCTGGTAAGAGAGAAGAGAGTGCATATGGCTTTGGAAGAGGTGGAAGAAAGGTTTCAGTAGTTATCAAAATATAAATAATTAAAAATATTAAGGTGCAAGTAGACACTTGCGTAAGTGGTACGAGTTACACATTTGCAGAACTGGTAGGGAAAGCAATTTAGCAAAGTGCATCAACAGCCCTTATCTTACTAAATTGATGACATGTTTGTTTCCAGTTTGGGGCTATTATGAATAAGGCTGTTATAAACATTCTTATGTAAATCTTTCTGTGGATATATGCATTTATCCCTCGTTAAGGAAAAAGTTATTCAATGACACTTGTTAATGCACAGTAAGGAAAACTTTATCCAAGGGTGGGGAATTAGCTGGATCGGTCTAGGGAGAACTGCTGTGGAATTTTGCAGTGGGGGAGAGAGATTGGGGTCAACTTCAAACACAGCAGGGTACAGGTGGGAGTTCATAGCCGCAGAGCAGCGCGGGGATAGGAAATTACTGTGAGGAAACATCAGGATTAGGATGGATTCTGGCTAAACCAACCTGATAGGATTCTTGCCCATCAGGGTGATCAGGGTGATACGGAGGTGGAAGATCCTGGTGAAATTGATTTATAGGGAGTTTTGCTAAAATTGGCCCATACAGAGAGAAATAGGGAAGTCTGAAAGTCCAGTCTGAAAGCAGTTCTGTGGAACCTGAGTAGTGTTTAGTTAATGACAAAGTCTTTGTCATCTTCTTGGGAAAGGACCTAGGAGCCAAATTGATGATTCATATGTTAAGTGTAATTTAACTTTCCAGAAAATGCCAAAATGCTTTCCAAAGTGATCATACCCCTTTTACACTCTCACCTGCAATAGATGAATTTCGGTTGCTCCATATCCTTGTCAACTTTTCATATTTTCAATCCTTATGGAATGGTAGCTCGCTGTGATTTTAATGTACATTTCCCTGATGAATAATGATATTCAGAGTACCTTTTTAAAAAAAATTATTTGAGAGAGAAAGAGAATGCAAGTGAGTAGGGGAGAGAAGCAGAGGGAGAGGGAGGGAGAGACTCTCAAGCAGGCTCCAAACTCAGTGCAGAGCCTGACACAGGGCTCCGTCTCATGACTATGACATCATGACCTGAGCTGAAAACAAGAGTCAGATGCTTAACCCACTGAGCCACCCAGGTGCTCACGATGGTACCTTTCCATGTTGTTTTAAAAATTGTTACTGTCAGTATTAAATGCAGCGGTATACACAAAGTGCTTAGCACAGTGCCTGGTATATAGTTGAAGCATAGCAAATGTCAGTACCAATTACAGGTTGGATAAGACTTTTCCTTAGATAAAGCAGGGACACATGTTACTTGCTTTTCTTGTTTTGGGTTTCAGCACCCCAGTTTTCCGTGGGGAGCCGCTAGTCCCTGCCCAGTCCATGTGGTTTGGGTAGGCCAACACTTCTCTAGGCCACAGGCATCTGCATGTCACCCATCAAGAGTCAATGAGCTTTGATACTAGAATTTTTTCTAAGAGTTAGTGAGAAGGAGATGGGCTTTTTCTGTTGATATCTATGTGTAGGGCATTTTAAACCTTGAGTTCTTGGGATTACAACCAAGAGTAAACTGTTGGTGGTAATGGAAACTGTTATGGAAGAAACAGACCTGAAAGATGAAGAGCAATGTCTTGGTTCTAGCTTAACCTGAAATGGACATTTTTGTTTATATAAACCGACAGACCGCTCTTGTTTAAACCAGCTACAGTAGGGTTTGTGTCTCTAATTCTGACTAATAACAGGAGTCTAGTGAATGGCAGGTCAACGAGAAAACAAAGATGCCAGAGCATGTAAGTGTGACCTTTAACATAACGATCTCATTTACCAGTAAACATTGATCAGGGGAGATCAGCGTCCCCTACTCAAATTAGCTCTTCTCCCTAATGGAAGAATAATAAAGGGTGAGGAGAGGATGGTGGGTCTCGGTGGTATGAAGTAATAAGCACACTCCACCCTATCTCTTCAACTCAATGCAGCTATAAAGTCTGGACAGAAAGCACAGAGCAGGTGTTTGAGGACCCTGAAAAACTCATAGTAGCAAACAGATCAGCGAAGGCAAAACTTCAGAGTACCACCAAGTTGATGTCAAGGTCACAGATATTTTTTCCAGCATCCTTCCAGCCTATCTTGTCAACCCAGAATTCTATATCCAGCAAACCTTCCATCAGGAATAAAGTTGAAATAAACCTGTTCTTAGATGAAATAAAATAAAGACAATTGTTTTAGCCAGCAGATTTGTTCTAAAAGAATTGCTAGAGGAAATTCATTAGGTAGAAGGGGAATTATACCAAAAGGAAGCTTGTAACATCGGGAATGAAGGGGGAGCAATAGAAATAGTAAATACTTAGGTAAATATAATAGACTATTCTCTTTATTCTTTAAAATATGTTTAATGGTTGAAAGCAAAAGTTATGAGGCGCCTGGGTGGCTTAGTCGGTTAAGCGTCCGACTTTCGCTTGGGTCATGATCTCGCGGTTCGTGGGTTCAGGCCCCGCGTCGGGCTCTGTGCTGACTGCCAGCTCAGAGCCTGGAGCCTGTTTCAGTCTGTGACTCCCTCTCTCTCTCTGACCCTCCCCTGCTCACGCTGTCTCTCTCTCTCCTAGAAATAAATAAAACATTAAAAAAAAAAAAAAAAAAGCAAAAGTTATAAGAGTGGTGGAGTTTTCAGTATATATGGCTATAATAGATATGCATATCCATTATATATCATATATGTACATTATCGTACATATAAAATATATGTAATATATAATGTATTTCTAGGATGGTAAAGTTTCTATATTGCAGTTCAAGCGCTAAATACTAATTCTAAACAGATTCTAAACAGACTTAGAAAAGTTAACATGTTTATTATAATGCCTAGTGCAACCCATAAATATACTATCCAAAGAGAGTTAAAATACACAATTGATAAAATGGCATAATAAAAAATGTTAAAATAACAACAAAAAATTTTTTCTACAATAGCAAAAAATTGTTTTAATGTTTATTTTTGAGAGAGAGAGAGACAGACAGACAGACAGAGCATGAGCAGGGGAGGGGTAAAGAGAGAAAGGGAGAGGCAGAATTCAAAGCAGGCTCCAGGCCTCCTAGCTGTCAGTACAGAGCCCCATCTGGGGCTCGAACCCACAAACCATGAGATTATGACCTGAGCTGAAGTCGGACACTTAACCAACTGAGCAAGCCGGGTGCCCCCCAGATAGTAAATATTTTTGACTTTATGGGTCACATACAATCTCTGTAGCATATTCTTCTTCAACAACAGGTGCTGGGCTGCACTTGACCCAGGGGCCATTGTTTGCCAGCTTCTGGCAGAAGCACACAAATTAGAAGACAGAAATTGTTGGATGGATTAAAAAGTAAAAGCAAAAAATGATGACCTAACTTTTTTTAAAAAATGTTTATTTATTTTGAGAGAGAGAGAGAGATGGAGAGACAGAATCTCAAGCAGGATCCTCACTGTCAGCACTGAGCCCCATGTGGGTCTTGATCTCATGAACTGTGAGATCACGACCTGAGCCGAGATCAAGACTTGGACGCTTGACTGAATGAGCCACCCAGGTGCCCCAAAACAACGACCCAACTTTACACAATTACCATTTCAGTTAGAAGGGTGTGAGTAGGTTGGAGGGGTGGGGAAAGAGGGGGATGCTTCTCAGTGCTTCCCTAAGAGGTAAAAATCTCAGGGAAAGAACCTTCTAATGTGTGCTGAGATAGGAACTTGACAGAAACAGAGAGGTTCTCCTTGCTATTTCCTTCCTATTCCCTTCTAGGGAAGCCAGATTTCTGGCAGTTTCAGAGTTTAAGCACATCGCCCTGAAACTGAAAGTGGAAGATGGCTCTGAGTATCATCAATTAACCCCATCAAACCTGAGCTCTTTATGCCACACAGAGGCCTTTGAACACTCATTCTGTGCCCATTGGCTCTTGTTTTACATATCATATCAAATACATTAGCTCCTCTCACAGTATGATCAGGTAGGAAACAGTAAGTTAAGAGGAAGGAGAAGTAAGAAACTAATGTGTAAGGCAGAGTAAGAAAGGTATATAATGGTGGGGGGGTGGCTAGGTGGCTCAGAGGGTAGACCATACAACTCTCCATCTTGGGTAGTAGGTTTGAGGCTCACATTGGGTGTAGAGATTACTAGTAAAATAAAACCTTAAAAAAGAAAGGAAGAAAGGTATATGACACTACAATTGCCCTTGAACAATATGATGATAACTTATAGGACTGAAGGAAAGGTTAAGATATAAGCACTTC